AGAGAGAAAGATATATACATATACATATATGCAATCTATCGAACCGCACATACGGAGGAGAGAAAGATACATATATATATACACATATATAACAATCGAAAAACACATAGAGAAAAAAAAAAAAAAAGGGGAGGATGAAGATATGCATGGGCAGTCAGCATCATAAAGTACCATCTAATGACGCTAACAATTAACCATTGTCAAATGGAAACTTTTTCATATATATCATAAACCTATCTTGGCATTTACCAGGATGATCTTTTTGATTTCGATTGTTACTGTTGTTAATAATACATCTATATGACCAAATTGCATATAGGTAATTACCAATCGAATATGTAATTTGTCTTTGAACTATCCTCGATGTTGTTGATGAGACAATCTTTAGATAAATGATATCATATTCACTTCTTGTGATTGATACATTAAACTTATTAATGTATTCAAATAACAATTTGTAAATCTCGTTAAAAAAAGGGCAAGTAATGAAAATATGTGGTAATGTTTCTGGTAATGAGCAGAATAAACATTTCTTCTCTTCTAATGTTTTACCAAGTCTATCATGTGTATTTATTCCATAATTCGCTAATGATGTCCAGAATTCTATGATGTTGGATGGTAATTTACTATGATGTATCAACTTGTAAAATTGTATATTTTTCAAGTGATTTATCCTTTCATAACATACTGGAGGTTTATAAATATTTAAATTGATAAACTTCCAATAGATAGATTTATCATTTCCATTATTTATTACATTTCCACCACATTTAAACCATTTAGCAGTATGTATTGCTACATCACTAAAAAATTGTTTATCATCGTGTAAATGTGGGATTAGATTTGTCCATAACCAAGGTGAATATTTATATAAATGTAAGCCTATATATGGTAATGCGAAAAATTTCCATATTTTCGGTGTTGTACTTGCAATTGTTAAGCCACATTTAATTCGATAAGAAATGATCATCGATTCTAAATGTATAAGACCAAAGCCACCATCCTCTTTTCTTCCAACACAAGTTTGGAATTTTATAAAAGGATGTGTTCTACCCCAAAAAAAGGAGTTACAAATTTTTTGGATGGATTCAATTACATTTTTATTAATTAACATTGATGATAACAAATATACCAATCT